AGACCGTAATAAGGTGATCAGCAACGTATGCGTCTGGCGCCATTAATCATAGCATTTCTTGATCGACCAATGCTATGGAGAACAAATTACCCCCCGATCAATAGGCAGTCGTCACCCTGAACACCCTCTAGAAACAAAAAGGTACCTAGTGATCATGGTACCGATGTCGAAACCCCGCTTAATGTGACAATGTCGGTAACAGATTGTCGCTTGTTCGTAGGCTCTATGAGTACTGGGAGAAATTTTGGCCTAGATGCACGTAGGTTTTCCTTCGGCCAGCGGGTTCTTCGACCGTGGAACTCTCTTCCAACGGAAATGGTGACGTCGGATACCGTTGTTGTGCTCAAACGGCAGATGGACTACTAACTCTTTGATAACCGACGGCTTTCATTGCAGGACTATCTCCAGTCAGCCAAGACCTTTACTTCATGCTTTCAATTTATGTATCGTACAACTATATATTTGCTGTAAAAATGACTCTCTGAAGCTAACACGCGTGACTATATTCCATACCGTGTGCATATCACTCCATTTTTTACATTTCGACCGTACGTGAACACGCTTATCAAGGGCTAACATCCGTAGCTCCCAAATATACATATAAAAAAACAGAAAGGCTATTCAAGTCTCCCTTGCCTTTGTCGTTAATCCCCTGCATCTATTACTAGTCACTACATCGAGCTCAAAGATGCAGCGGGGAATTGTATTTTCTAACTCGACTGTACTTGAATAAGGCCATAAAGGGTCAATGCCCGTTACCCTCTAAGTTAACTAGTAAAAATGTATTATAAAACACCATACGCAGGACCCACCTTCTGGATTGGTTTTCTCCTCCACGACAACCGGAGAACCAGAAGTGAAAAAGTCCATTAGGCAGGCGAAAATGTCAGGATTCATCACACTCCAGTCAGCGTCCTTTGTCTTAGTGATAGTCACGAAGTTAGGTCCCAACATAACACCATCAACACCAGTAATATGGAATAGCTTTCTGGATGCAAATGGTTAGTGGGAGATGGGTGTGGAGATTTACCTGGCCAAAGGTGAGGCGGTAGTGCTCGATTTTGTTGGGAAATCACGTGTGCTAGAGCCAAGTACATCGGTACCGGGGAAAAATTGTTTACTATTCGGATTCGGTGTGTCCTGTGTTTGAATGAAGAGGGACCGAAGGCTTGCAAGGAGAGGTTGGGTGGACCGCGCGTTGGCTAGGCTGAAACCACGCAGAAACTGCAGGCTATTGCGTAACATTTCACAAAACCCTATAAAATGCACAAAAAACGGTAATACACATGAAAAAAATAACAATAATGAATGCTATGACAGAAAGCCTTCAAAGAAATGAGCTATTCGGCAGTAAGGAAAACAGCCAAAACACTCAGCCGGGACACTTAACACAGCCAACTT